GTTGCGAAATGTCACAAAAGGCCTCAGACCTGGACGGATTCTTTGGATAAACGACCCGAGTTGAAGAAAATTGAAATAAGATTTGGTACTTGGAATGTAAGAAGTATATAGGACAGGTGCGCTCATGACAGTTGCGAAGGAAACATCAAAATATAAGTTAGATTATTGGAATTACAGGAGGTCAGATGGGATGGAGGTGGCACCGAACCAGCAGGCGAATATACATTTTTCTATGGAAAGGGGATTGAGAGATATGAATTAGAGAGAGCCGGGAGTGACAGACACTAAATTCAGGAGGAGGTAAGAAACATTTTTTTTTTAAGTTTCCCAGGCAGTGCCCCCTTCCAATAGAGGTACGTTTAAAAGGGGGCAAAACTTTAGGAAGTGAAAAGGTAACATTTTAGGATGTGAACCTTGTTATGAGCAGAAAAAATGCAGAGTTGGGGTTTTACTGCGTATGATTGGAATTAATTTTGATATCAATGTTGGAAGGGCTGCATCAGAGTGGAGTAATATTTATAAATACAGTTATGTGCCCCAGTGCACATACATTTTTCTCTTGTCTCGAATACGAAGGCCAACCGATTAGTACTACTCAGGGAAATGGTCTTGTTTATTGTGTGAATCATACGAAACACATGAATGGGCTACACGCTGTAGGCAATATACCGGGTTCACTAATGTTCACACAGGTGGTATACAGAATCATGGTTGTGCTGACACAAAAACCCATTAATCTTTATAATCAGCAACGTGAGAGCCTATGCCTCTTGGCGGATGTAGCAGTTGACTGAAGGACATTTCCTACTGGGTTGGCCGATAAACAACGGACTGATGTTGCTATGTGCGTGTAACGCACGCGTTTACATAACTATACCTTGGAGTGGAATTGTGAAGTTGGCAGACAAAAAGAAACCGATAAAAGTTTCTCCTGAGAGGACGCCACGTGTCCAACCGGGACTCCCAAGTTGCATTTCAAGGCTGAGTGACCTATGCCCGATAGGGCTAATCTGTTTTCTTCACAAATTCAAACTTTCGCTTTCGGAGTAATAAAAGAATGCTGCCCACTCATGTGTATGTATGTATGTATGTATGTAGCGCCGAGTCATGAATTCGTTGGGCTGTGCTTCCATGACAGCTTCACAGCGTAGTGTTTTACGGCGAAACATTTACCAAATTTGCATTTTATCACCACAAATTATCATGGAGCTTTATCAACTGTATGTTTTTGTCAAGGAAAAATATACAAAAATTTGCCCTTCTATGAATATTTGAAACAAATACCGTATTTGAGAATCCCGTTGCATTAATGTATCACTTATACATTTTCTTTTCCGTCTTAAATTCAAATTAATTTACAACTACTCCCTTATATATATATATATAAAAGTTAACCATTAGAAATTGCTCCTTGTTTCAACCGTAGTCGGCCATCTTCAGGCAACTGTTCAACTTGTCAAAATTGCTGCATTCTCTTTTCAATGTAATTGAGACGAATTATCTCCCAAGTTAAAGCATTTCCATGTTTTTCATTTGCGTCATCCACTCACTAAAAAACTTACAAACCTTCGGAGGAACATGTTATCGCCATCTTTAGGCCAGGAAATACTACTACTGCTACTACTTCTACATAGTACTACTAATGCCTGTACTGCCCAGCTTGGGCCCTGGCCGCTTCAAAGACATTCTTCTGTTTGGATTCCCGACTCCGAACTCTTTTGCATGATGAGGATGTCAGCCTAAAGCCCAACCCGCCAACTTGTTAGAGGACCACAGATTTTCTGTCATGGTTTATTCCCTTAGCCGAACAATCCCGTTTTAGGGCACCAGACATTCGGCCTTCGCCTTTTTTTTAATTCGTTTAGTGGGGGGTGGAGTCCAACTGGGTGCACACGGCACGGCGGTCACTGATTGGCGTATTGTAGCCTGCCCTGTGTGATTATGATGACGAATAATTTGGTGGAATGAAGATTGGCAGGGGAAACCGAAGTACTCGGAGAAACCCCGCCTCAGCGCCACTTTGTCCACCACAAATCCCACTTGACCAGACCCGGGTTTGAAAACGGGCCGCCGCGGTGGGAAGCCAGTGATTAACCGCTTGAGCTATGGCGCAGCCTCGGTCTTCGCCTTGCTCCCATCTGCTACTCTCATGCTCTCACCATGGAACGCACCCAGGGCCACCTCGTGGAGGTAGGGAGTTCAGATTTGCCGGCAAGGCCTGATTCGCACGAGGGAATTTCTCACAACTTAGCAAGGAGCAACTATTGGCATCAGAGCTCCTCTGTGAGACCCATACCAGCCATCGACGCCATTTATCTATACTGCAGGCTAATAGGGAGTTCAGATTTGCATGCAGGGCCTGATTCGCAGGAGGGAATTTCTCACAACTTAGTAAGGAGCAACTATTGGCATCAGAGCTCCTCTGTGAGGCCCGCACCAGCCCAGGGCAGGCAATAGAATCAGAAACACCGGTGGGTTGCCATTTATTCGAAAGCTTTGGAATCTGCCGATATTACGTACTGAAGCCTCACCAAGGAAGGTTGCTATGTGAGATCTGAGGTACTCAAGTCAGTGATTATGAGAACTACTGTCTTCTGGGCCATGACGCCGTGTATTCTGTTATAGCGCTATCACTGTTACCAATGTTAATGACTGCTACCAAGTTACACGGCGTCACATGCCAGAAGACAGTAATCTCTATAGTCACGACCCTGAGAACCTCATAATTCAGTAAGAAAAATTTCAAGGTCTCATAGCCGAAAGTCGAAAGACGTTTCGGAGGAACATGTCACCTCCATGTTGAAGGTCGAAAAAGCCAAGCAAGAAAGTTGAGCGAAGCAAGCAGTGAGCAGTGACTCCGAAATGTCACTTGACTTTCAAGGGGCAACATGATGTTATACGCCAAATTTCCGCCCCGAAACGCAGTTTCAAACATATTTCCTTCTTTTTTATGTATATTTCAGGGGCCCTGTGCGTGATGAAATGGAGCGAACAGTGTTCTTACGTCTGCAGGAAATGGATAAACAGAAATAAACGTTTTAAGTATTTTCCGGTTTTCGTCCTGATTTTCAGTTTTGAAGTTACGGCAGTGGGAAACACCTCAACAGAACTTTTCCTTCAATGTATCAACTTTCTTGAAATGTCCATGTAGGAAACTGAAGCCGCATTAAAAGAAAATGCTCTATTTGCTCCGACAACCTTCGAAAAAGAAAATATTTTCATTTTCTGCAAAATGTTTTCTAATACATCCTTCTTGCATTAAGGCTTCACTTTGGGTTAAAACTCTTTTTCTCCCCTTTTCCAAGAACAGAAATAAATACAGGGCCCTGTGTAAGAGTTTTACAAAATATTTTCTTGTTTTACTGTATCTATAAAAAGTAAATTTGTCCCTGTGTTTAATTAATTAAGCACTACACCATAGGTATAGCTCCACAATTCTTGGCCTCGACAGTACATCGAGGTGAGTGGTCAGCTTCACGCCCCGTTCGCTTAACCCCAGGGGAAAGTGACCTCGGTACCAATTGTACAAGGGGCTTGTTGTGCCCCAGTATCGATCTGGACGCTGTGGAATAGAGAAAAGTTTCTTGTCCATGCCGGGAACAAAACCCCAGCTGTCCATCCCATAGCTCGTCACTACACCATCTGAGCTATCTTGACCCCATTGTACAGAAAAAAAAACTCCGTGGTTTTAGTCCGCAAGCGAACTATACCGACCGAGCGAGCGCCGCTTGTCGACGAAGTTAGTGCCAACTTGAGAGCATAGAGGGTGTCACGTGGTCAGCGCAACGGATCCCCACGGTCGTTAATTTCGGTTTCCTAGACCGGAGCCGCTATTTCCTTGAAATGGCTCCTCACTTATCGTCATGAGGCTGAGTGGACTCCGTTCCAGACCCACTACTTCTCATAAAATCTGGTAGCACCGTGAATCGAACCCGGGACCTCTGGATCTGTAGGCAGGAACTCTGACCACTAGACCACAGAGGCGGTCAGTGTCTAGATTATACCGTAAATTATAACGTGATGCTTGCACATCACACGGTGAACCACGAAGGGAACTTGGGTGGAAGATCACTCCATAGCATCAGTTGCCGGCAGTCTTTTTGTTGCATTCCTGGGTCCTTGCAGTGCAATGTGCACACCTCTCCTTACCAATCCCCACTTCATCTCCCCTTCCACGTCTATTTTCAAACCAGCATACGGGTACACACACACAGCAGCCCACCAACCTACACACATCGACCCTGAACATGGAAGCAGCATGTACCTCCGAAACATCGGAAACTTCGTCCACGACCGCACAGTGTAACAATCAAAGAAGGAAATTAATATCAATAATTAATCACCGTGGAAGCTTAAAGTCAGTAACTTACACCAGGTTTTCAGGCCTACGTTTCTGTATGCAAAATACGAATTTCATCCAAACTGGCTAATATTACGGCGTGATATGATTCCATTTTCATATGATGTGAGATAAAAGAGCTGGAATAGCTCAGACGGTATAGGGAGGGGCTAGAAGGTGGTCTATCGGGGTTCGGTTCCCTGCAGGAGTAAGTTTTTTCTCTTCACTATAGCGTCCAAACCGGCTCTGGGGCCCACTCAGCCTCCTTCCCATCGGAGGGTAAAGCAGCCAGGGCGTGAACCTGATCACTCAGCTACATCTAGTGCAGAGGTCAAGAATGGTTCAGCTCTGTCTGTACTCCCCCGTATGCCTTCATGATATAGTGCTTAGTTAATTAAGCTCAAGGACAACTTTACCTTTTTATGTTTCAAATAATTGTAAATAGAGTACTATAATCTTATATATGCCTATATGAACTTTCAAAAATATGTTACTTAGTACAGGAATGCAATTTTACTGACACGGTCTGCCAAACAAGAACTGCATTCAGAAGGTCGCAGAAATTATACGAGTCCACGAACCTTTCGTAACAGGCGTACTTATTTACTGTCCAGACGGCGAAAAGCAGAAGTAGCGGAAATGCGTCACGTGTGTGTACGAAAATTGTAGAGTATCAACGAAGGCGTGTTGAAGTGTGAAGTCTCTTGGGGCAAGGCTGCGACAACTTCGGAGTACTGAAACCAGAAAGATGGTCCACTCTCGAACACGTGCCGCGACCTTGGTGGTGGTGGGGGGGAAAGAGGGTCGTACCTTTCTCTGTGTTATAAATAATATCTGACGCTAGATTTGCAATTCTCGTTTCAATTGTGGAACTGAAAGCAACGAAGGAGCCGGAGCTATCGGCAACAGGTGAGTTTTCGAACGGTCAAATGAAATTGTCAGAATATGAGGTTCTTACAGCAGTGGTTATGGAGCGTTCTATCATCTGTGATATAACATCGTGCAGTGCGTTTGGAAATGCAACCTATGTTTCGGAGGAATATTTCACCTGTCTTCAGGGTCTAAGGACAAGCCAAACAAGACACCAGCATGAAACAGACCTCTGCTTCATGCCGCTTTCTTCCTTGGCATGAAGATATAGGCGACAAGTTCCTCCGAAACGTCGGCTGACTTTAAAACGGACCACATGGCTTATGACACAGAATATATAACTCTTCAAACGGATAGAATCTCTGCACATCCAGTACGTATAATGTTCAGATAATCAGATCTGCAGCCTCTGAATAACAGGTAGCTCATCTAAACGTGTCACATTTGGGACTCTGACGCCGGTAAATGTGAAGATTATATGGTCTTCCGGCAGTCGACGTCGTTTGGTTTCGTATATATCTATCGCGTTTCGGAGGAACTTGTTGCCTCCATCTTAAGGATAGAGAATTCGCGTGAGGTCTAGACACAGGGGCCGTAGCTGCGAAGAGAAGCCAATGGGGGATTGAGTCCTTCTAAATATGAAGAAAGGTGAGTGGCATTTGCCTACCAAATTGCAGGGCGTCATGTCCCCAAATATCGTAATATTCATCTAATTAACATTTATAAGTTCAATTAATATCTGGCAGAAAGTACATTACGTCTCATTACAAATACCGTTAGGTTAATGCTGTTTCCTGGTATTCATTTCTGTTAGAGGCTGAGTAAACCCCAGGGCCTAGTGCGGCTGGAAGTATTAGATCAACTGAAAAAAATCCAATGACCTCATCGGGACTTGAACCCGCGACCTTCCGGCTTGTAGCATAGCCCCTCAACCAACTATGCTACCGCTTAAATAATTTTCCTGGGGATAAAGGGCGGTCGGCGCGTAAGGCTGACAACCTTGCCGCCATCTATGAGCCGACTGTCTAGATAATGTGGGAGCCTCAACGTCTCACAACCCTATGGGCTTTCACGGCCTGGTACAGGGAGAGCTTTACTTTTTTTTAATGCTGTTTAGGAAAATTGACAGTCATTGTGAGGAGATCTAGCATAAAGATCATTGAAAGTTCAACGAGAAATTGTCAAAACTAAACTTCGTCTAAATGCTTAACCTCAATAGCCCGGTATTTTCTAGCAAACTTACTGCTTTTTACACCAAGGTACTAAATTTATTAGAATAACACTACGCGGTCTGCTACCTGGACTTCTTTTTTTTTTTTTTTTGGCAGACACGGAGATGGTAGTACTTACTAAATCAGTACTGCCGCCTTCTATTCCTATTCGTAACTAACTGTTAGCATATACGTATATAGAACATACATGACGGCAGACGAGCAAACCTTAGACTTTTACAAACAGCGCGATCATATTAACAGAAATCCATGAGGAGTTCAGACTTTCCTCTTCCTCAAGCAGTCGGTAACCCCGTGGGTCAACTAGATGGGAGAAACGCCTGTCTCTTCCGTCAGAGCTGATCAGTGATATGCGGGAAGCTCTAAGTTGACCGCACGACAGCTAGAAGGATTATACGCATTGCATAAATGTAGGGCCTGCCATGTGGTCAAAATTCGTGTTTCAGTAATATGGCAAGTGCTACATATATTATAAATGATTTTTAGGAGAACATACATTTGTGTTAGGGGACACCATAAATCCGTCTTTCCTGAGAGAGACTATGAAAATATTTAAATATCAGATATCATATTTAACCATTTAAATCACAATGGTAACTACATGTGCCACCCACTTCAATACTAATAATATTTTGCATATTGTCCACACAGCGTGTTTGTGAATTTCGTATGCTCGTAGTTCTCAGAATAAACATTAACGGTATTAAGGGGGTTGTCTTTGTAATGAGGCCGAATCGTGTTTTCTATAAGATAGAAACTCGATTTGTTAATATTATTTAGATAGATTTCAGGCTTCACTGCGTTCTATGTGGTAGGAATTTAATTTTTTAAATATCTATATAAGCTTCAAAGACTTAATAATCTTGATAATATGAATCCTGACTATGCAAATTTCTCCGTTCTCCTTAGGTTCAACGCCCTCATCGAAACTTGCTCGCCTCTCGGACTAACAGAGGGAGACCATTTGTCCGGTGCATCCGTAACACTTTGCATGCAATGTGCATAAAAACACACGTCAGCTGGTAGCAGGCCAAATACTGTGCTGAGCAAATATTTTTAGTTTGCATCTGTTGAGAAGGTGTTCTCATTCCTATAAGTGGGATGACTACAAAAGAGGTCATGTTATTGTCCATCTAAAATATCCTTGAGGCTACGTCATAATTTGAGAACGCATCCTTACGAAACAAAAGGCCTATACGTTCAATAAGATCCCGGTATGGCGATTTTGATGGAAGAATGGATTGTTTCATTTCTTTCTATATCTTAAAAATAGTTTTTTTGGCGTCAGATTTGTCATTGTCCACAGGCAATTTTGGGTTACCATAGCAACGAAATGTCGAGTATCAATGCATTTCATGAAAGCAAATTATAAAATACGTAGTCTTTTGTTTCAGTGTATTCTGTGAGTACTGAAAATATTCCATGTACGTATTATACTATACGGACCGCTTCTGTGGTCTAGTGGTCAGAGTTCCTGGATACAGATCCAGAGATCCGGGTTCTATTCCAGGCGCTACCAGGTTTTCTGAGAGGTAGTTAGTCTGGAACGGGGTCCACCCAGCCTCGTGAGGATAATTGAGAAGCTGCTTGATTGGAAAAGTACTGGCTACGGTCTAGAACTCCGAAATTAACGGCCGTGGGTATTCGTTGCGCTGACCACGCGACACCCTCTATCCGCTAAAGTTGGAACTAACTTCGCCGACAAGCGGCGGTCGCTCGGTCGCTATAGTTCACGTGCGGACTAAACCCACGGATGTCTTTTCTTTTTATTATACTATATGAAGAAGATAAATTACTCCCGTCTATTCATGCGTGTTATTCGTGGGATATTACGTTGAAATTCGGTCTCAACGCGTCATTCCATAGCATATAAGACTCGAAAGAAATAAGGGAGAAAGCAGTTATACAGTGGATGAGGCTTCCAGTTGAATTCTCAACGGATGATACTCTTTTATTTGTAAGTATCCGTTCCTTTAACGACGAGACTAGAGCTGCAACGTCGAATGATAAAATGATTCGTGAATAACGGTTTGAAGAGGATATTGAAGTAGCGATCGTGAACTGATTTACGGCGTTATCTCAGAATTTGCTGGAATAACTGAAGAGAACCACGAAAAACCTCAACCAGTAATGCCCATATCCTGACCGATATTTGAGCGCGGGACCGTTAGAATATGAAGCAGCCGTGCTAATCACCAGATAGCGATGTTCTGCTAGACGCGACATGAGAATGTTTTCTAAAAGAATTCTTGATGATTCAACTCTAAGGAATGGTGCGTATGCTGTACTACACGTGAGGTTACTTAGCTTGTGGACTTCATCCATTATCTGATGTTCGAAACACGACGCAGCATTTTGGGAACTTGATCTGTTTTCGTCCTTTGGCGAAAAGATCAAATGACATTTTTCAGCTGGATACGTTAGCAAGAGCTTATCTTCATCAAAGAACAACAGTGATCACGGTTATTCTTTCTATGCCCAGAATCCTTTGAGCAGTTACTAACGAGGTTCACAATTACGCGTTCATTACATGCATTTAATACCAATATGACGGCAACACAAATTATGAGTTGTGTCCTCTCTCATGGCAGTAGTTCTGGTCCGTTTCTTGCGTTAATTATCTAAATGTGAAAGCAGCCGTTGTAGCATGAGATACGTAATGATCTGCTTTGCAAAGCCTGTAATGACAAGAGTACTTGTATATTGTGCAAAAAGGAAGAACTTTCAATAACATGATATAAGTGCGATAGGTACACTTGACGGAAGGCCAAGCATATTCATAAGAGACAAGCCCATCTTCTCGTCAGAGAGGATGTTACATAAGGACTATGGCCGCAAGGGTTCAGTTGAAAAAATCTTTGGTTGTGGGTCTCAATGGGCTTGACGCCAAGAAGAACTGATTGGGGGTAAACCACTAGCCGTAAAGTAACTTTGGCTTTGACTTTAAAAGTGAAATGGTTAGATGATCATGAAATATGAACTGCGAGGAATGTGGAAGGGAGCAGTCGTCTACCTATCGCCATTCTCAAATTTGAAAACTGAAACTTAAAATTCTTCTATCCTTAAAATGTAGGTAGCAGATTCCTCCAACGCGTTTGTAACAATCAACCTGACTACACGGTGTCAAATCCCAGAAGTACGCTCCGAAGTCACCGTTGTGAGAATCTCACCGCTCACTTTTAAGCTAACATACAGGTATTTATCTTGGGGACTGAGGCAAACCACGAAAACCATTAATTGGAATATTTGGTATCCCGGCAATATTCGAACCGGGAACCTCCCGAATACATGCTTGAGCCTGCCTACTCAGTGGAGCAACTATGGAAACCCACGAAAAGAACTCCAGGCGCCGAGGACGGGGCGTCCCGAAAATGAAGCACAACTGCTAGCCCATACACGAAGACGTAAGAAATTTGTTTCCCACGACATATACACGTGCGGGTTTTGTGTAAGTATCGCTTCAGTTTCCAGTGAAAAATGTCCTTGCTTAGTTTATGGTCTCCATTAACTTCCTCCACGATTCGCGTGCAGGGGAAGGAAAGAAAGCTTATGCGTTTCTGCTTTCCTGATTCTGTTTCAGAGGCATGTATAGTCTGTCTGTTTCAGCTTGACCTCTGTTATGCGCATTAAAACTTTGAGGTATGAAATTCATATATATATATTGGCACGTGAGGGAGTGTGACTACAGACGGGGTTTGAATTGATGACTCGATATACTGACCATTTATGCACATAATTTGTAACTACAAGTAATTATTAAATCATTAAAGCACACGCTAAGTTTTCTCAGTCTGCTTTCACTAGTCG